GAGAGAGAGAGAGAGAGAGAGAGAGAGAGAGGGAGAGAGAGAGAGCGTAATTAATTAATTAATTAATTATTAAATCAAACTAATCAATAAACGGATGCGCACAAAGGAGGACTTATATTAACACGTAAACTAGCAGGAGCAGAAATACAGCGTTTTATTTAAAAAAAAGTATTTTAAATGTTTAGCCTAATCTTAAACAATTTGTTGTGCAATCAATATTGCGTGTATACACGTAGAATCAGCAACAAAAATACAACTTTTTATCTAAAAAACATTCACTGTAAATATTTAATCTTAAAAAATTTAAAATTAAAACGTTAAAAAGTTAAATTTAAATTTCACCTGCGCGTCTTCGCGTCAGGTTGCTAGGTGACGCATGAGCCACTTACCACTCCGACGAACGCAAACAGACAGCAGAGCGTGAAAGATGTCATGGCGGCGCCGACGAAGCTCATCGTTCTGCGGCGTAAACAATAGAACAGCACCATCAGCGTCTTTGCAACAGAGGCGCGAGGATCATTTGTTACGATGATAGTCACAATGGTGCGCGCAAAAAAATAACACAAGCAAAAACACACAAACAAAAAACAGACGCGGTCGGCCTGCACGCGCTTTATGTATCGTCTGCTGTTGCCACGCGCGACGTAGCGCTCCCTCGTGAGCGTCACGTGAGAGCGGGTAGATTCTGGGGTTTAGATGGCGGGAAATGGTCACCGTCGCACGCGTCATCCGGAGGAGAAACCGCGCGAAAACCATGCGGGGTAAAACGGCACGGTGTCAGTCTATAGAGGCGGTGCCCTCTCTCTGTCAGATATTACTCATTCAAACGGGCGGGAATTAAAAACGTGTTTTCTATTGCATACTCCGCATTTTCTTTCGTAATAAATTACCGTTAAAATACGTAGATGACTAACGGAACGTTACAGTTACGCGTAAAACGTGATAAAACGTGGCAAAAAAACGTCGTCGTCCAATCTACATTTACTCGAGGAAAATTTACGACTAGAAGGCCTATCATTCTCTCCAGTCTACAGCTAGAATGCGACGAGAGTGGGTATGCGACCTTGCCGACCTACCCCAGGACTAATTAACCTAAACTACCGTACACATAACGTATCGTCAATCAACAGGTAGAAAGATCAGCGCGTGTAAACGTATGAACTCTTGACTATATCTCTATCTATATCTGTATCTATTATTATAAACTCCTGATGTTATCTCCGCATATCTTAAGCCTATAGCGCTTAGCGCGGCGAGAGAAGGTGACGGGTCCGATGTAGGTGGGTGTGGGTGTGTGTGTGTGTGTGTGTGTGTGTGTGTGTGTGTGTGTGTGTGTGTGTGTGTGTGTGTGTGTGTGTGTGTGTGTGTGTGTGTGTGTGTGTGTGTGTGTGTGTGTGTGT